TTTGCTGTGTGAATTCCTATCAGGAGTTGGACGAGGAGGATGAAACCGGTTGGGTTTTGAGTCAAAAAATAAGTCCTCTATTTTTCTCCTTTCAGCTATTTATCAGGGCTCAGCGCAAAGGGCCCGACACCGGGCCAGCGTGGCCCGGCTGCTGAGATCTGTGTGACACACAAGCCGCCGTCGAGCCGGTAATGAGGGACCTTCTGCTAAACGGCCAATTGAGCAGCCGGTGCCTGCCGAACAGCTTCATGGCGGGAGGGACGGCCGGGTGTATCTCTATTTTGACACGTCCTCGCTGAATGAGGAAGAGAACAAGCAGAAAATGGCTGATGATAAATGCAGCAATTAGGGAAGCTTAATGGAGCAGAAGGTTTTTTGTGAGAAGACAAAGAAATTGCCGTGCTGACACCTGCAAGGAGGTCCCAGCCACTGCCGTAGGGAGACCTCCAGCTGTGCCGCAGCAGCAGGGGCTGGGGTGAGGGGAGACGACCCTTTTCCTTCGCGCGCACATCCCTCAAAGGCCTTGAAAAAATATTTTCCAAGTTAAACTTCAAAACACCATTTGATTTTTCTTTTTCCCCCATTATGTTCAGAAATGGTAGCCTGTAATTTAGACCCCTTGCAGCCCTCCCCTGCTCCCTGCTCTTTATTCGGTTTCACATAATAGTGTGCTACGGGGAAAGGCATTTTCCTGACAAAATATCGATCTCGATGGTATGAAAGAGCTGCGGCCTCAGTGGGGGGATGCTGTCGTGCCGGAGGTGGGTGGACATGAGGGGGGTCCCCCAGATGCCGCTGCTGCACCCGCAGTGACGCCCTGTTTAGGGCTGAGTCCACGACCCGCCGCGCTCTTCCCGCAAAGCGCCATGTTTCTGAGCTAAGCCCCGGGCTACTGGCTCCTGAGGATTTGAGTCAAAGTGCTGTATTTGTTTGCCAAAGCCCCATTTATTTCCTTGGTTAGACTCTTCCCAAAGCAAACTGCTCCTGCAAAGGGACACCACGAAGCACTGGGGAAAGCTCTGTACGGGGGTGCGCAGGGAAAGACCCAGCAGCCCCTGGCGCAGGGAAGCCCAGGTTTCAGTGACGGGTAATGCCATTTTGGCCTGTCACAAGAGCATTACCAACCCCCCCCCCCCAAACCTGCACGGCAGGAATTTTCCCAAGGCTTTGCCACAAATTTTTCCCCCCCCCCCCCCCCCAAAACTGCTACGCAAGTATTTTCCTAAGGCTTTGGCAACAAGGAATTTCCTGAAGGAGGTAAAGGTTTCCTTTTTCCAAAGAAAACACAAACCCTGTTTTCCCCACTGCCAAGGGCTCCTCGGCTCAAGCCCGAGCCGCGCACCAGTGACTTACCTCTTCTCGTTCTGGCAACTGCTACCCTGCCTGAAGCAAAGCTGATGCGTCTCGCTTTTGCCTAAGCTCTCAGGATATTGCATTTCTCCCTAGCTGGCTTCTTGTGCCTTCTGGACCCGCGTGATGTTGGTGCTGCAGATCTGACAGTGACGGCTCAGGCTGCTGCAGAGTCCTTGGGTTCCCCCGCATCAACCCTTTGTTCGTCTGACGTGGGGTCACCAATAACTAACTCCAAATATTTATGGTATCTATAAAGGCTGGAACGGACAATTCCCATATGCTTATTTTAGGCAATAAAGTTTGCTTTTTAGGGAAGTACTAGAACCTTTTGTCAAAAAACAGTATTTTTGACAGTCTGAGGATTCATTACAGCTTTACAGATTGCCTTTTTCCTGCACTCTGCACTCTCCTGGTCATTTATCTATTTTGCTGACCAGTCCAAGCCTGGCCCCTGTTAGCTGAAGAGGGTGCACACCAAATCTCATTCCACTGAGCCGCGGTGCCGCGTGGCATCACATTTTGGACAAAAGGTAACGCAAGTGCAAGAGCTGGTCTCCCTCCTGATGCTTTCCTGGGCATCTTCTTAAAAATGGGCTGCCTGAGGCAAGCAATGAACCTTACACGTCCCATCCTCTTCCTCCCAGTGTCGTTTGCTAAATCCCACCCTTTGTCGGTGACTGAGGGAAGTCTCTAGGGAGATGGACAAGAGGAGAATAAAAATGGTAAAAACTGCACAAAATGAAAGCTCAACTGGTAGAAACGCATAAAACCCAGGAAGCCCTTCTGTAGCAGTTCTTTTTAGCAGAAGAAGGCTCAGCTGGGGTGGCTTAAAGGAATAAGGCTGAATTAATTAGTTGCTCTGTTTAGGTAATAATACCATTAATCATGATGAACCATTTTGTGAGAAGGCTGATATTCGGCACTGCGCAATTCTGCAGGAATCCCACCGTAGTGCAGCATTATTGATGGGTCATCCTCCGAAAGCCTAAGAGCAATGCCTCCTAATACAGTAAATGGCAAACCACTGATTTTCTTGTAATATTCAGACTGCCACAACATCAGTCATGATGAATTCTTTTGGCACTGGTGTGGCTGCAATAAAATGCCAGGGGAGCATGGCATTGATTTAATGCTCACTTGTCAAATCGTACATGGACCAAATGCTTCCAAAGGGTACGGTCCAGTTTTGTATTTTTTTTGACGTGTACACTAAAACCCCCCTTGCTCACACTTATCTGCATCGGGAAGCTGCAGCTATGGACTCCTTCTAACAGAGGTTAGGGAGGGTCATTTATGCAGGTCTGTGTTAGAGGTGGCGTCAAGCAAGGTGCCACGTTGGACAACGGCACCGGGAGAGAATTACAATCCCCCTGAACCAGCGTTACGAATATCTTTATGCTGAGTCCAACGCACTTTCCACTTCCACCATGGGTTCTATGTTCCTCTGATTTCAGCTGGGAGAGCAGGTGCTGATTTTTAATGCCTACTTTGTTTTAAGCCTCCTTTCATCAGATTAAGGACCCTGCTATTTTATTTCATTTTATTTTTTTATGCTCGGTAATTTAGTCACATGCAAACTTAAAAACAGAAGCTGTAACATGCTGTTAAAGCACAGTCGCCCACTGTTAAATCAGTTACTGAGAGCGAGGGGGCTTGGAGCACTTTTCTGTCCCCCTGCAGATGTCTGCCCTCAGCCTACGGGAAAAGCTGGGGAAGCAAATGAAAATGCACGTGGCGAACAGCGCTTGAGGCGGTAACCTTCCCGTAGCGATGCCGGCAGCACGATCCCTTCGAGCAAGCTGTGGCACAGAGGCTGTGCTTCCTTTTCCGTCAAAGACTGTCAGGAGGCGCAGAGCCTGCGGGGTGCCGGGGCCACGGGTGGGAGAGCTGCCGCGGAGCCGGGGAGCGCCGCTCCCCTCCCCAGGTCCTGACCGCCACAGCCCCCCCGGGTCCTACCCCCCCCCAGCTACGGCCTCCGAAGCGTTTTACGGGCCACGCTCCGTCTGCCGGGAAGGAGTCACAAACCAAATAAAATCCCTCGCCCAGCAGCAGCCCCTTCCGCCAGCTGCCGGCTGCCTCCTCCCAGCCGCCCAAGCGCCGTCGATAAACCATTAGCCTCCGAGTCAACAGCGCTGGCTACGACACACAGACACTCAACTGCCTTTTTCATCCAAAATCAATGTTGTATTTATCTTCATTGATCTACAAGGAAACTGAATGTTTAAAATTACAGTGGCTGCAGGGGGGAGGATGGGGAGGGGGGGGGAAACAAGAGTTACAGAGCCAAGAAAATAGTAGCGGATGGCTGAATTAACTAGAGAGAAAAAGCCCAGGATATATAAAACATGGACACTGAAAAATAAAATAAGGGAGGGGGGATGGTACAGCAAGTAAAACATGGCAAAATTTACATATGGATGAAAAGTAAAATTGGAAATAAAAAATAAATCATGCCAAAAAGCAGTTCAAGGCAGAACCACACTGAAACAAACATTTGCTTATGGTCTTCATGTACTATAGATAATATATCAGAATTTCTTTTTTTTTTAATCAACCATTAGACTTTTTTTTTGCACTCCTAAAATTCTACTTTGTCTTGTATACAGATTCCAATAAGAACACTGCACAATTAGCACAAGGGGTCCACGGAAAATTGTCCTTGCTTGCCAGCGATCCTGCCCACAACACAAAAAAAGAGAAAAAAAAAGGAAAAAAAAAAAAAGGAAAGGGTCTGCCGCATGGTACTGTGCCAGTTCCATCTGCTTTTGCCAGCTTGAGAAGTAGGAAACCAAAATTCCCTTCCAGGAGCGTGTGTCTCTCTCTTTCCTTGACGAACTGTCCCTTGTGTTTGTACAAAAAAACTCAGTCTCTCTTTATTTTTTTTTGTTAAACACAAGCATCCTTCTTCCTGTTCACATGCCATTTCCATTCTGTCTCCATAGTTGCGAGTTGGTTGTTTTTGGGTTGTTTTGTTTTTTTTTTTAACCTTCCTCCCCCCAACATCCACTAAGACCTGCCTCCGAGTTCTTGCATAGTTGAAGTATATATGCCGTACTGAGCTTTCTGAGCGTGAATTTCTGACTGTGACAAGAGTATGAGTTGTAACCATGTTAACAAATAACCAGAGTGGTTCTAGAAACCATTTTTATAAAGTCTACCTATGTTAAGAATTTAATATTGGTGTACATTTATATTAACAGAATATTTACAGTTTGTTTTCTTTGTTTTTTTTTTTGTTTAAAACAAGAAGTCAAAAAAAATTCCTCTTAAATTTCTGCATAATATAATAAGGCAAAAAACAAACAGTTTTGTACATTATTATTATTATTATTATTAATATTTTAATATATATCTGTAACTTCGGTTCCAAAGTACCAAGGTAAGTGATCAATTGGCCTCAGAAGGGAACCTCACAGTGGACTGTAGAACTACAGTATTTCCATAAATAATACTTTTAAGAAACCCTGGGTTTTTTTTCTTAAGGATCTGAGGCCTTTAAAATGCAAATTTAACTAAAAACAAAAGCAAAATTTCTTCTTTTTTTAAGTGAATAAAGAGCACAAAATTAAAAAAAATACAAATCCATTAAAAATGTTTCTCACATTTGGGAAAAAATGTACAAACTTGATATTTTTAACTCATTTTTTTTTTAGCACAGAAACAAAAAACAAAAACAAAAATCAATACCTATATATTAAATTCCCATTCTCAGCAACCTTCTTGTTGGAAAGTCTGCACCCCCGACCCCGTTATTTATGGAAATGTGCTTAACTTCTACAAATTTTACATTAAAAAAAAAAGTTTACAGCAGTGCATTTTGTAAAAGGTTTGTTTTTTGTTTTTTTTTTCTGTTTGTTTTTTTTTTGTTGGTTTGTTTTATATACAGGCGAGTTTAAAATTCAATGTTGGGGACTATCGTGCCTCTACTTCTTTGGGGTTCCTAGAGGGGGAATAGTCCCTGGACTCTGAGTTTGTGAGTGGAGTAGTCCTGCGTGGGGAGGCAGGTCTGGTGCTGCTCGCTGGTACAAGAGGCGGCGGGGCGCTCAGCGCTGCGGTTGGTGGGTTTCTGTTTAAAATCCCATTGTGCATGGCAGTGGATGGACTCAGTCTGGGGTAATGCATCCCGCTTAAATGAGGCATGAAGGATGGCACGTGTGCCAGGTGACTTTCGATGGGGGACGAGTGCAAGTGGTGCATTCTGGCACGCTCAAGTTCTTCCCGTAAGTGCAAGCGCTCTCTTTCCTCCACTTGCCGCAACCGCTCCTGCTCTCGGCGGGCTTCAAGAAGGTTTTCATGGTTATAGTCGTGTGGCTCCCTGTCTCTATAAGAACGCTCATGGTCGTAAAATCCAGAGGTGGTAGGGAACCTATGGATAGGATCCGCCCGGAGCTGAAAGTCCATTCGACGGTGCAGGTCTAAGCTCCGGTAGGCATCTCGCAACGGGTCCCTCATTGGGTCCCAAGAAAATCCGGGATGTGGCAGCCTCTCTCTTCCTGACAAAGGATTCATGCCTATGAGCGGGGTCATCATTCTGCTGCGGTCCAGAACATTCATGTTGTTCATCTGGTGCACGCTGCCCATGGAGATGGGCATAGAGGCAGCCATCGAGTGAGGCAATGATAATCCATGCAAAGTAGGCGGTGGGGGATGCTCCACTGATCGCGAGTGCTGTGAAGGCTCAGACCCTACCACCAGCACGTCACTGTCTTCCTTCCTCTCCTCTTTGACTTTGATGTCATTCTTAATCTTCTGGAGGTCGCTGGGAAGCTCTGTCTTTCTCTCCATGTCCTTGCTCATTAGATTGGTAAGCTTCAAGCTCTCACTTAGTGCAGGTTTGCTGTATGGGGATACAGACTGGATTACTGGCTTTGTGTTGTCCTCAGAGGGTCTCTTATCATGGCTTGGAGTTTCCTTCACTGGGGAACGGCTCTCTTTAATTTTGTGTTCTGCTATGGGCGGCTCTCTCAGCCGGTCAGGGTGCTCTCGCTCGGGTTCTTTGGACCTTTCCCTTTCACCGAGGCTAACCTGCCTGATGGGATCACTGGAGGTTTGGCTGTTGCTGCGGATGAGATTGCTTATCTGATGTGTCACCGGAGCCGATGCCGGTGAGGATCTGTTTGAATGTCTGTTTTTATCCATCAGGTCTCTGTAAAAAGAGAGAAAATACATCCTTGGTTTTGTGGGAACAAACATGCATGTGATGCTGGACACGCATAGTGCTGTGTCTAGTTGTGTAATTCGAGCTTGCTCAGAAGATGATTTGAAAAGCTCTGCTAGCATCAGCTATAGCTGTGGTGCTACACTAAAAGATACGCACTACCTGCCTTTACATACTACATAGGAAAAAAATGTTAAACGTGCACAAATTTGGGGACTAAATTGGGGATGCATTTCAAAGAACAGTATATTCACCTTAAGAGAAAGACCACTTCACTGAGAAATGTAGGGCACCTAGACAGCTTGTTTTTTAAAAAAAGATGCTTATTGTGTGTTTATCTATACATCTTGCTGCCAGACAATGATCTTCTTGGCTGTAACACTCTTAACTCAGGTTCCTTTCCTAAAACATGGATCCAGGCACACAAAACAGAAGCCTACAGAAGTGCATGCAGCTCCTTCAGGAGACAGCGTCAACTGGAAGCAGCCATAACATGATGCTTTTTTTCCTATGGAGCTGCAGGAGAGTTTTTGTTGTTGGCAGTTTTGGCAGGTAAGCTAGGTGCTTAAGGAAAAAAATCCCCAACTAGGCCATGGAACTGAGTGGTCGCCCTCTCTTTCAAGAGGACCTGCTATGAGGAACAAGGGGTTTGATGACAATGTCCATGGTTTAGAAAGAGAGGCATGAGAATGGGGTTTACACTTCTAACTGCACCTCTATCTCTGATAGTCAATTAGTCAACGTTACTTCCACCTCTTTAAGAGGGGAATAAATAATGCTCACCTTTTAAAAGCACTTTGCTCTGAATGAGAGACACTTTAAATGCAAAGTATGATGGTGTGATTGAGAGAACTGCATTATGCAGCTGAGAGGCTCACTGATGCCTAAGCTTTCTGCTGGGTTTGCTTTCAAGAGCCATAAGACCTGAATGCTGAAAGCTGGAGGTGTTTCGGGGAGTTCTGTAAGTATTTCTCCCTTATGATTACATTTGCTAACCCAGATTTCTTCCTCTGCAGTAGTCCTGATTGCTGGTCAAGGATGTGGTTTATTAAAATCGTGTCCAAACAGGGATGCTGGGGACAGCTTAAGCTGAATTAATAGAAACGTAATAGAGATGTTAACCCCTGTGTGAACACTCTTGAGAGTAAAGTAACCTTGGTTTGCAAATGAATTACACTAAAGCCAAGAAGGGAGCTTCCACCTGAATGACTATCCATGCAAGGGTGTCAGACAATTTAACATTTAAAGCAAGATGATTTTCAGCCTATTGCTTCCGTATAATCTTGTTCACAGACCCTGCCTGAAGAGCTCATTAAAAGCACTCCAGGCAAACTATGAACCCCCTATCACTAGTCAAACACACACATTAAGGCTTGCAGGCTCTTATTGCCTACAAAGAAGTAGCCTGTTGGAAACAACCGGGCTCTGAAATATAAAGGGCTTTACAGCTTCAAAATCATACAACTGGAAGCTAATGAAGTATCTATAGCCCAGGTGATACAGTTTTGTCATTGTTAATAAGGGTTTGTATATAATGCCATTTTTGAAAATCAATTTTGCTAATGGATTCATGCACACTGCTCCAGATACAGACATTTGCATTTTTATCTCGTTAATGTCCAGCTAACATGCGAATTCATCAGCATATCTGTACATTAATGAGAACTATGACTGTCTCCAACGGACTCAGCACAATACTGCCTTCATGATTTCAGAATATACAGCAATCCTAAAGCAGTTGCATTGAAAACAGCCAAGTATACCCTGAAAACACAGCGACACGCTCATTTCCTCAGCCTGGTGCTTTTTATTAACCTCTAGCGGAGGCTGGCTTACCGTATTTCCACAGAGGACAAATCCTAAAAGGCAAAGAGGTTTTTTTTGTGTTGCTAGTACTTGTGCTTATCTGAGGGAGAGGCCTATCAGCTGCTTCAAAGACAAACAATGTTTTGCTCTAAAGATGATTTTAAGATCAGAAAAATTAGAAAAAATATAGAGGAAAAAGAGGCCCAGAAGAAAGTGCTCAAAAGCACGCGCTGCTTACCTCTCTTTGTCTCTGTCGTCTTTACTCAGAGAAAGATCCCTCTTCTCGGGCTCTCGCTCCCGCTCTCTGTCTCTGTCATGGTTTGTCACTGAGGAGCTTCGCTCGGAATCGGTGGGCTTGGGCCACTGTGGAGGTGTTGGGAAGGACGGTGGGGTCCGATGGAGTCTATTCCATGGCTCGTGGGGATTATTGAAATTCTGTAGGTTTGGGCCATCTTTGTGAGTAAAAATGTTGTTGTGAGCTAGAACAATGGCAGGGGGAGGAAGAGTTAAATGTAATTCAAACCAAATAATTACATACACATTTTGCACAACGCTAATCACAACCAGAACTGTCCTTTCAAGAGTTTTTAATATGGAGCTAATGGTGAGGGGGAGCTACTAGCAGGTGGACACAGATACCTCCAACACTGGGTGAAAGATCCACCAGCTCTTTTAAGGCTATCGGCGGAGGAAGCTTTAACTACACATTTGAGTAACTCAGAGATGACTGAAAATGCCCAGCTCCTCTTCTCCCCCCACCCCGGCAAGGGTTCCAGCATAAAAGCATTATTCTTCCTCAACTCCCCTCACTGGCAGAAACTTTAATTTGTGGGTAGTTACAAGCAATCAGCTGCCTGCAGCTGAGGACTCAGGGACTTTTTTGTTAAAGAAACCAGACTATTTGGTGGTATGTATGTGTGTGTATAAAAACAGAGCTTGGCTGTAGGCTTTTTAGAACAGTCACTTGATTTTCCTCCATCAATCTTCAACTGATTCCTGTTGCACCATGAGATGCAAAAGCATGCTCTCTTATGTGTGGCTCTCAAGCATGTCTTGCCTACAGGTAACATGTTTTTGAAGTAAAATAATTTCATACAGGTAATTTAAACTCAGACGATGTTTACAGAGGGAGTCTACACGCTGAATTAGGAGAATTATCAATAGCTGTTCCACTGCACATCTTCGCTGTTGAAGGGTGTTACTTTAGATGCCCATAGGGACCCAGAGCTCAGTGGGGTCTTGCAGCTCTAGCACCTCTAGGAGCACACAAGGTACCAACCTTCAGCAGTGAGGAGACACAGAGCACAGCTAGTGATGTCTGTCACATGCAGAAAAGCTCCCACCGCAGAGACCTGGAAATCTTAGGTGCAGTGTTTTCAGATAGGAGAATGGAGGTTAGGAATTAAACTTCTTTAAAAACTACCACCAGCTGCTGTAAATATTAGCATGTGGCTTTTCTGGAAGGGATGTTTGTCTGCAGTAACCCAGCCAGTACTTACTCAGAGCATGACTGCCTAATCCTCCAAAGGCATTGCTGCCTAAGTTCCCAAGGCCGCTGAAGGTGCTTGACCTGCTAAATGGATCTGGAAAGGCAAACAGGGATTTAGCAGGCATTTAGCCAAGAATGTTGGAGAATGAAACGCACCCCTCCCCTTCTTAATGGTCTGAATCCAAGTAGGATTAGGCCAGACTTTAAGCTGATCCTTCTCATTGCAAGGTTCTTTGCACAGAAAATTCCCATCATGTTAAAATGGAGAAGGGATTCAGTGCTCACTCTGCAAACAGGTGCTGTAATAAACTTTTGTATGCCAGTCAGAGGGGAGCTAGAAATTAAGGTCTAATACCTGAAATTAGGGTGGCTGCTGCTGAGCTATAACTCTCCTTCCTTACCAGTACTAAGAGTAGAAGCGTTGCAATTGCCTTGAAAGAACCTCAGCAGGCTCCTCGGTCAGCATATTGAGGGGATGCATCGTTTCACTCTTGTTTCTGTATACAACTTTCTACCCTACTTTGAGACAGTCCTAAGCTAATTGCTATGGACATCCATCCTTACACCAACTAACTTTGGCCTGTTTGTGCCAAAATCCTCTCCCATAATAGCTTCCTTGGTCCCAGTGGTGGTGGGAATGATAGCGTAGTCTTGGGAGCTACTATGACAAAGGGATGGAGGTTTGTATCCTTTGAGGCAAAAGATGAATTGTGCCTTTCCCAGTCAAGTATCTGACTATTTGGCTACTGGCACTTGTCTTTATAAAAAGTCCTGCCTTTTTTTTCCTCATTAAAGGCACCCATCATCAGAAGAGGTTCCTCTCTGAGTGGATAGCCCAGCTCAGGTTTCTGCACTCCAGAGATGGCTATGGGTTAAATTGTACCAGTGTACTTGTTTTCTTTCCTACTGGTCATCTCTAAACAACTCCTCCTTCTGCCCACTGGCTTTTTGACTGTCCCTTTGAAGTCTTTAACTTGCCATGTAACAGGAGGTGTGTTGCTCTCCACTTCCTCATGGATATCCTTATATTTAAAATATTAAAGCAAATAGCACAAATAGCTTGGATCTTTAAGCAAACAGCTATTTGCTTATTTACTTATTTTTAAATAGCTGTTCTTGCTCTTCCCCTTTGATATTAAGTAGTTGAGTGACTCTGTAGATACACAGTTAATTTTGACAGAATGTTCAGGAATTGATGTAAATCTGGGTATTTGCAACAGAAAAAAAGTCTACTAGGTCATGTGGCATGCCACATTTACTGATTGGATGAGTGTTACTAAAACATTAATCAACAGAGCTTGAACCTTAATTGGCAATGAGCTGCTTGTGAGCTTCTAAAATGAGGAAATTTCAGAAAATCAGGCTCTACTTACTGCCAATTAGGAAACTGAAAGGCTGGCAAAACGTGCAGAACAGCTATTTGCCAGGAACTGTTCACTGAACTTTATTCAAGAACCTAGCCAAGAAGTTTCATAGGTGGGAAACAGTACGGGAGGAGCCCATTTTAAGCTGTGGCTTGTTTGAGGTACCCTTGCATAAATTTCCCCCGTTTCCTTGGGCACATTCAGCAGCACAGAAGGGCTCTACAGGTCGCATTTCAGCTCCTGTGCAGCGTCCCAGTGGCGACAGACTTGCCTGCTCTGCAATGCCCTCTTCTCTTGCAGGAGAGGGTCTGCTAATCCTGCCCCTCTCCTTTGGAGGAGAGCAGAGGCTGGCATGGGTGGGAGGACTTCCTGGCTAGCTTCTGGTTCCTGAGACAGTTTAAGCCTCTCCCTCCCCTAGTGCTACAGTGCCTCAAGGCAGGACCACACAGGAGAGCCAGGAATGGGTCAGAGGTATAAAGGTGAAGGCAGGGTTTACTTACACTTACCTGCCAAGTGGTTAGTAGGCAGGAAACTGCTGTGATGAGGTGAAGGACCAAAAGGGGTGGTGGCTGGATGTGTTGCACCTGTGAGAACAAGGTCCCTTTTTAGTTCAGTGGCAAGAGACTGCTTGCATACACAGAGGTCCTGGCCATAACATTCAAGAACCAGATGCAAAGGCACAGGCCAGATTTCTCTGAGTGCCCTTTAAAGGAGTCTGTGGGCACTAGCAGGCAGGAGGAGACCTTGCACTGAGCGCTGCCCGCTCACCTGTAGTAATGAGGAAGTGAATCTCTCTGGCATTTTCAGTCATTACTCTGTGTTTACATTAAAAAGGGTCAGCCCAGGTTATGGGCCCAGACAGAAGGTGCTCGGAAGTGACTGCTTAGAATCTATATGAAACACTGGTTAATGACAAGCACGCAGGGCACATCAATAACACCTCTCCCATGAGAGCTCCGTCTACGCTCTCACATCTGTCTATGCATCCACAGGCTCCCCTCGTGGTGTTTTTTTCCCTTTCCTAGATACTGCTCATTGCCACGGTGCCACGCAACCTTGTGGGAAAGGAACACCACTGCTGAGCACGCTGGATCACATTAGGTTGAGGTAAGGGCCAAGAATGGGCTGAAACAAGCTGGTCTGCCCTGTATTTCAAGGTAGACAAGGCTCATGCAGAAAATTCCGCTCTCATTTCAGAGCAGAAAATGAGAGATTTGCCTCCTTCGCAGGCAGACGCATGCGAACCTGAACGGGCTTGCAACCGCAGTGTGAAAAGCACTGGTGTTACCTGCCGCTGGGGTACATGGTTTTTGGAGGAAGATTAACTCCCATGTATCCTGCAAATGACAGGATGCTTGAGCAATCTCATGGGCCTGGCTTTCGCCCCCTAAGATTAGTACAGATGATTTTCAGGATGCACCTGAAATCAACTTTTGAATATTTATGTTTCAGATGTGTGTGACAAAATGGCTCAATTTCTGTGGCTCCAGTATTACACTGAGAAGACCAGCCTTCTCCAGCTGTTTAGACTGTGAACGTCCTTTTGGTGCCTCCTCCCTGCCAGTACTTCCACTACTGCAGACAAAGCAGAATTAGTAACTATCATAACTTTCAGATGCTGCCTGGATGCAAAGACAACTTCTGCCTCCCTTGCGGAAACCAAGACCTGCCATACCTGTGCATTAGCTGTCTCATTTTGTTAGAAACTAGTAATTCCACACAATGACAGAAGCAGCATTTTCCCGAGGACATGTTAAGTCATACGCAAAATAGAGCTAAATAAAGCTTTTCAGTGCTCTTGTCTTGTATATTTTGTTGGTAAAAAGTTAACTTCCCTTAATACTGGGAAGAGTAACAGGTCGACTCTAGCAAACATCAGCAGCCATACTAGGCATGAACGTGGGCTCTTCACTAACAGCTCACTTACCCAGTCACTGCTTTCTCAAGTGATAACTTTCCATTATAGAAAAGAGGATTATGATCCTTCTCCTCCCACCTGGCACTCCTCCTGTCATCTTCACCACAAAGACTTCTGTCTCGTCTGTGGCCCATATGAATTGTTCCCACCAGTGGCAGACCTGCTCTGGTAAGTTCCTGCCCCTCATCTCCAAGCCACATCAAATGCACGTTTCCACCATGTATCGTCAGTGCCGGTAACACTATGGAAGGTCACAGCAAAAGTGGGGGGAAATGGAGGGAAGAAACTAATATGCACAGGAGAAAGTTCATCCCAAACAAAGACCAAACAGCGCTTTACGGAGGTGGTCAGTCCCTGGCCTGGTCTTCCTTGGTGACAGAGCCCAATAACAGATGGTCGTTGTAAAACACACTCGTGTCCAGAACATGAGCAGACTATAAAACCGTAGAGGGAGACAGCGCTGCGTGTCCCTCACCAGCTTGGGCACCACAAACCTAAGCAGCCAGAAAATCAGTTGAGGAAACTTAAGAGAGACCACAGCAATGAGACCTGGAGTTATCTATAAACATTCTGACTGCTCCAATGCTTCAAGATGGATGGAGACTGTCATCTTTCTAATCCTTTAAGATTTCAGAAGGTGTATAATGGATGGGAGATTTCTTCAGAGGAGACGGCTTACAAACTCAACTACATGGGCTGATAATAAAAAACCCTCCAGAGAAAGCCAGGAGCGGCATTGCAGGCTGTCAGGTAGTTATTAAATATAGTGTCTGCCAGGCAGCTGAACATCCGTCCTGAAGACAGGTGGCCCTAAGATAACTTATGTCTCCCACAGTAACTAGGCAATGCAGCAGAACCAATGATTCACATCAACTGCACGCTTGTTCGATAAGGTGAAAAGAATGCCTCGGATATTGCAGAGTAAAAGATTTATTCATCTATATATTACTGCTGCAATGTTTGTTCACTTTGATAGGACTCTTTACCTAGATTTACCGTGTGATGGCTCTCGTGATTAATATACTCACAGAGAAGTTGCTGTAAGGTTGTTTATCTCTAGTGAAAGTTTTCTATTAATTTGCCTTCTTTAATGTTTGTATTCCATACTATTTCCCCTCTTGCTTTTATGAATGGAAAAGCAAGCCATGCTTGCATCGTTAAGAGAAAAAGCTCAAGATACCAACTGAAGTGTTGCTTTTCTGCCCGTTAGGGTAAACTCGGCCCAATATATCCTTCAGTAGCAAAACCATACATGAAACAAGATTCTTGTAATGACAGCACAGGACAAACTGAGGACAGTGATAAGGAAACAGCTACCATAGGAAAACAGTCAGAGGTTTGTAAGTAAGCTGTGCTTATGCATCCAACCAGATGCAATAAATATCTTGGCCCCGTACTATCAAAGTACCAAGAGACCAAAATAAAGGGTAGCACCCTACAATGTACAGCCAGTATCAGCACTGATTACACGTGGTGGAAACGTGTGTTTGATGCTTAGGAATTTCCATCCACAGATAAGGGCAGAAAGACAGACTGAACCACTGGTGGAGTTCCTGAAGGCTATCCGACATCTGCGTTTGAAACTCAGTTCTCACAGAGGTTTCAGCTTGATCCTCACCTGTTGCTTTTCTGTCATGTTGGGGTGAGAATTCAAAACATTTCTAACCTCATTCATTTCAACAGGGTTGGACCAAGGCTGAATATGACCATGTCTGCACTGACTTAGAACGAGAGCGCAATATTGCATCATAAAACTAAAGTTAGGAAAGAAAATTACATTATTTGCCAACTAATTGCATACATAAAGAGCTAAGTTACATCTCATCAATTGATATAGCTCATTCAGAAGGCAGACTTTAGCATCTCAAACACAGGAAGAAAATCTGAAAAACTCTAGGGGGAAAGTTAAGGCTGGGAACAGAACAAACCCAACATTTGGTAGACGGACATCCACAGGAATCCAGAGTGACCTCCAAAACCAGAATGTCAGAGTTGCAGTCTCCCGTGGTCAGAGCCATCGAGAACAGCGCGGTGAAGCTTACTGCGCTCTGGTAATTGCATTAATTGTAATTACTTCTCCAACAGATTGGAAAGCAATTGATCCATGTAACCTGTATTTAAGTCTCCTTTTTTTTTAAATTCAATATGCCATTTTAAGCCTTAGAGATTGCTGGACTTTGTAACACATAGGGGGATTTTATATTTAAAAACCAAACACTTCACAAATACACCTTCTGTGATATTTTCAATGCTGTTATTGACGTTTTCCTTTTACAAAAAAATGTTGTTTTCAGAAAACAAACAGAAACTTGGTGAGTGGAGGAGCTGAGAAGAACAACATGGCAAATACAAAAGCAAGAAAGAGACTGGGGCCACTTCCCATCCTGTGCAATGGAAACATTTTCAAGTGTTTTGTCAAAATCGCTTTTAAAAATCACTCCATAGCCTATTAATCAGGCACATAAGAACCAGCTGCACAGACATGAATGTAAGAGCCAACTGCTGCAGCTCAGTGACGTGCAGAGGATCCTGCACTGGAGGCAGTGGCAGAGCCCAGCCCAGCGGCTCCGAGCACCCCGGTCACAACAGCCGCCAGTGCCTCTACACCCCTCTGCACCAGTCTTGCCTGCTTCCATTTTTGAGGCATACGTAGCTGTAGAGACACACATTACATATACTGACTTTGTTTTTTCTTTTTTTTTTTCCAACAAATGATGATCTTCCCTTACCTGTGGTAGAAAACAGAGGCCTGGCAAGATCCTGTGGATAATGGAAGCCTGGAAACACTCCAGGGGCGGGAGGTCTGCTGAACAGGTCAAGTTTACCACCTATCTCTAGCTTGTGAGGATCCAGCTGCATCTGCTGTCAAATGATATAAAAACAATCTCATTATACACTTCCTTTTTTATGGGAGAAAAAGAGAAGGAGTTCAGGCTCACTCCTGCTTAGCCCTGCCAGGGAGAGTTAGCGAGAGTGACAGCAGCGTCTCTGGTCACGTACCGCAGTCATGCTCCGACAGCATGTGTAAGGCCATTTCGCTCCACAGCCTCTCAGCCGCCTGCCTCATCCACATGAATAAGGTCTGAAGTGAGCTCTCAGCCCCTCAGCACACACAGCGGAGCATGCAACATGATACACTGAGCGCGCTGCACCCCAGGATCAGTCAGCGCTCTCAGCCTGACAAAAAAATACTCTGCAGGCGGAAAGCTGCCGACAGAAGTTTTGAGAGCTGGCTGATGGACTCCTCTGTTTTGCTTCTCCAGTTTGGGAAGAGAGAGATGTTCCTAGACTATGCCCTTCTTGCAGCTAGTATAGCTCCGTACGCAGACAGGGGGCGAAGGCTAAAGAAAACTATGAGGCTCCTCCAGAGGCTATTTTCATCCTTCCCCTATAGAAGTGAGCATGGTCAGAACTGCACCTAAGTCATGTAAGTCTCTAAATAGCTTAAAGATGATATATTTGCTTGTAAAAAAAAATGGACATACACCACTTGTAGAGGCACTAATTACAGTTCACCTAATTAAGCACTGAATAGTCTTCATTAATGGGACAAAAAAACTACAGCAGGAGCTATGAAAAATAAAACGCTACAGAAGTCCCGTTATCGGCTATTCTGCCTGCCACAGGGAGCTTTGAGCCTGTAACAGCACCCCAGTGTACCTACGTCTTGTTACCTCGAGTTTTAACCCCCCCCCCTCTGCCCATCATCACGGCAGTGCAGAAAGCCCAACGACCATCTAACACAGTAACTACCAACCTACTCGCCCGCTCTATGTTTTGCAACATGTTCTTCACTGTACCGGTCATTTCATTATGAATGGGAAAATACTCCATATTCCGCAGGAGGTACCAGTACAGAAGGGAAATGACATGAAACACGTATGCTTTGTAAAAAAGACAGATTTGGGGCAAAATTACCCTCCCCCTCCCTTTCTTCTTCTCCTCTTTCTGGCTGTGCACTTAGTATCTCCTGCTCACTTTGCTACCCAACTCCTTTGTCCTCAGATAAACTTTATGATTGCTACAATAAATGTTAAAAGATTGAAAGTGTTAGTTAATCAATACAGGCAAGCTTGAGAATCAACAACAGTAACTGCTTCCTGCTCATTACTCACTAAAATATAATCTGTAAGCCAAAAGACTTGGCTTTGTTCCAGAAACTGTCTGAATTACCTTTATCTTTTGCTGGTGATGGTAGATCTGCCAGGCGATCTGTACATGAACCGCACACCACTTCCCGGGTTTCTGCAATGGAAAGCACAAGAATTTAGATTAATTTATACGTTAGCAATCTACATCAGATAGAACGTTTCATTTCCCCTACTGTCAAACAGGCAGCTAAGCAATGAGAAAGGCTGATTACTACAACGGAACAATAGGTGATCAACATTTTTTTCTGTACTGCAGCAGATGATGTTTAAATTAAGAAGGAAACAAACAGAAAGAATGTAGGATGTGGGATATCTTCCTCATCTCATGGAGACCTGAGACCCCTGCCTTGTTCTTTCCTACTTGCACTCCCCCCTTCATAAACCAAAATAAATGGCAGCAAAGAACAGTATGCCATGCTTACGAGAAAGCACCTAACAGTTAACAGTTCTGTTTCTGAAAAGAGCCCTGTTCATTCATCCCTGCTGCACTGCAGGCTAAGTCATGCGTGGTTATTATGGCTACTTGCATTTGGGGAGGAAAAGGGTACGGACAAACAATCACCAGGGATGAGTAGTGAATGAGTTACTGTTTTTCAGCTGAGCTGCAGTACTCACTGTAGGGTGTTTTTGTGGAACATCAGAAGCACAGATAGAACACACTGACCTAAGCCACCATGAATCTGATCACTGGTGAATGTCTGTCCGTGCTCGCAGTCATTTATTTCTGTGACCCTTATTTCACACTGTGAACTATTAATGCACATAAACGGATGCAAAATAAGGTTGGGATTCAACCTAAACGTTATTAAACAGAAGCAGCTAAGAGCTAACTATGACATTTTGCTTTAAATAAAGGATGAGTGTGAAATTTTCTACTGGACATGTTACATTTCAAAAACACAGGCACAATATTTGAAGCATCTATATATATATGTATATAAAATCCCCCACAAACCTTACTTACTCTTACTGGAGGCCTATAAGGGTCTGACACCTATGGAAAAAGCAGAAATAAAACAATCAGTCTTTCAAAAACTAGCCAATATACAGAAAGGTGGGGAACTTCCTTCCTCTGAACAAGAAAAAGCATTTAGAAAGCAATGTTCCAGAGAAGTCCCTTGTGACATGGGAAACTTAAAAGGCTTAAAGAAGGCTTAAAACTTCTCTTTCATTCCTTGCACCAAACTCAGCAGAATTTTATGATAAACAAAGCAGCTTCATGCCAGCAACTGAACAGTTCAGTGCTTTTCTGAACATTATAATCGTTCTGAAATGGAGCACATAAAACTACTCTCCAAGCAATGCTTAGGGGAAAGACCTTGAAGGGGTTTCCTGCCCCATTTCCCTCTGACTTTGCTTAAAGAAGTCAATATATCCCTTTGTATTCACGACCGGTGGAGGCTACTGTTGTCTCACCAGAAAAAGAAACTTTGGTCCTGACTGCACGTTCCGAGTCTAGAAGGCCAATTTGCTCACCAGCTGCTCTCTTTTTTTTATGAGCAATCACTGTGTTTACTGTAAATCCAGATAAGCTGAAAGGAAGGTTATATATTGTTGCCTACCCCTGGAGTCTTCTGCAGCAGCGTATGGTGGACTGTGCCTGGTCTACCTGCTACATCAATAGGGTTTGAAGTCTGAAAGACAAGAATAGAGCGTGAATAATACTGTATCATACCAGCGGTATATTTAACATCTCTATCTGATGTTAACAGCATTAATTAGTCCATGTTTGTACTGTGCTTTGAACACGCATATTGCTACATTAGTGCTAAATGTTATCTCTTACCGACAGCCAACAGCATTTAACCACCATGTCATCTATTTAGCAGCAGTAACAGTATTACAGCAGCACCCCTAAGCCCCGCTGAAATCACAACCCCATTGTGCTATGCAGTATGCAAGTGGATGGAAGAGACAGTCCCTGCCTCCCAAGCTTATTCTTTAGACAAAACACGCAGGCAGTAGGAGAGAGAATGAGAGGTGGACTGACTCCTCTATGGTTCAGGCAGCAACCAGTATAGCAGTCAGGAACAGAACAACTCAAGCGTCCTAGTCCCGTATTCCACCTATTGGACCATGGCCCCTCTCCAACTGGGGCTAGATACCACAATGGTTAAAATGGCAACAGCCCATCTATTTGCTTTGACAAGGCAAAACGAGAAACCTTAGAAGGTGCTTGTGGGTCTTTTATAGCTTTGCATTGTTTATCCCATCATTTTCCAGCAAGAATTAAACACCTCATTGAACGAATCCCTGTTCCTCCTCCTCCTCCTCCTCCGGATCCCACCTGTTGCCCTGTCCTAGACGATCCCCAAGAACTCGTTCGTCTTCTCACTCTGGCATTCATCCATCTCCCACTCCCAGAGCAACTGCACCTGGTGCCTCCGCGCAGCTGAGTGCAGAGGGGTTAAACCTCATTCCCCAAGAGATTATTTCACTCACATTTTAGGTCAAATTACAGAAGATTTCAAACAGTCAAACTGTACGAGGAATGAGTAAAATCATGGGCGTGGGAGGAAAGATAGGTTTTAATTTGTCTAAGGCTACGTAACTTCCAGATTCATTAAAAAGAGAATTCTCGTGTGTGTGTCTGTAGGTAAGTCAACAAACTCCCCAGGCAGATCTGTGCTCTCAGGGCCTGTCTGACAGCTGAGGTATATATAAGGTGGCAAATAAGTTACAGCTATCATACAGGCAAGAGCTTTAAGATCACAACATGTTAATAGCATGGTGTCATCCTGTCCCTTTGTCCCCTGGAGAAAGATGTGCATGCTTCCTCCAGCAAAGTAAACTGAATACTTCTGACCTTTTCAAGTTCTTAGCTTGTGAGAAATGGCCTTCGGGAAACTCACTGAGAAGTTTACCGTCAGCCTGGATTTATGTGCAGTGGATTTACACGCACAGCTGTAGGCAACTGACATGGGAAGGGGAAAAACAAAACCAAGGCCTCCGCTTTGGAAAGCAAGAAGTGCAGGATTCAGTGTGCCAAAACCAAATCATCAGGTCTGTAGTGATTATGAAGGCTTTAGTCAAACAGCTTGGGAGGGAGAGAGCACGGAAAAGTGATGCAGTAATGACGACTAGAGTGGCTTTGCCCAGCAGTTCAGCTCTGTCTCCTCTAGGAAACTGGAAAATAATGTGCCAAAGCGGCAGGTCCATTTTTCAATCCCTCTTTTTTTCAGATGTTAGATTGCACGTAAATATAGCACCGTCCAGAGGTCAAGTGATGTTGGTGATTAACCATGGCACCAGAGTGTGACCTTGCGCTGCTTAAACTCAAGCTAGCAAATGTTCTATGTATCTATCATTAAAATGAATTAAAAGCTAGTTATAATACAGCACTAAGAACTGTTTAAAAATGTAAAGGGTCTGTGCTCACTTTTTCTTTCTCGCTTTGTAACTGCTTCTCTTTGGTCTAATGGTATTTTACAGTGAGATGGTATCTATAAAGCTCTGTAGTGAAGACGGAAACCAGAAGAGCATGCTATCGGTGTATCAGAAGCTCCTCATTAACAGTAGCCTTATGGCAAAACTGAACCCTATCTCCACATTAGCAAAATTTTGCCAATTCCACCTTATTTGTGCAGCTCCTTTTCTTGGAAAGTCAAGTTCACACCCTGACAACTTGGGGTCTGTAGGGACAGACACCCCCTGGCATCCCTTGCAAGAATAGCAACAATTAACACCGGCGGACAAACTCCATCAAGGGATAGCTCTGTTCTGTCTTTCTTGCTCCCTCCGCTTAGAGGCAACGGCTCCTCTCCTATGCCTGTAGCCACTACACACAGAACTCTTGTTGAAAAAAGCCATTTTAGAGACTTTGCTATTTGTAATGTATCCGGGAAATAAAATAATGTAACATGGGCACTGAGGAAATACTCCAGCTTCCATTAAAAAAATCAAGTTAAGTGGGAAGGTTGTAAGAGGCCTTATTTGCAGCAGTTGCTAATTACTGACTTCCACTGACGTCAGCGAGACTGCTGTGCTGAGGGAAGCACACCCCACAGCCCTGCTTGTTATGGTTACGGAAATGACCTTCCAAACGCAAACAGAAACGGGCTGGCTACAGTGCTGGTCCTTCAAGTCTTCTGACACAGCAGCAGAGCTCTACGGAAACGCAGTTCAAGATAAGAAATCTCTAAAATCACAGTAGGTAAGGAATCTAAACACGTCACCTTACAAATGGAGTAAACGCTCCATTTTCAAACAAATGCTATACAGATGTAGTGCATCTTTTTTGTTTGGAGGGATTTAACAGTTTCTGTACATTTAAAAATAGTTAATAAAAAGAACAAGTCTGGGAGGGGAAAAAAAAGCAGTGCACACCGCAGAATTTGTCAAAAATGGTGGTTATCATGGCAACATTTCCAAATGCCAATCAGTGCTAGTTGTAATGATATGTTACAGTTGCAGTGCACCTTTCAAACACACTATCTCAAAGAAGCTTGCAGGCATTAATCAACCCTTATAAAACCCACTGCAAGATAACTTTATAGATGAGGAAGCTGAGGAACAGAAGATTTAAGCGACTTGCCCAAGGTCAGACAGTGTCGGAGCTGGGAATAAAGATTCAGCTCTTTCAAATTATCCTACCCATTTACAGCAGTCTCTCCCTATTGTTCCCACACTTGTACAGTCACTTTCTCATTTTTTTCTGGGAATAAACACAGTTTATCTTTTCTAATCTCAGACGGTTAAATTTATAAAATTATTTGAGACTCATTGGTCTATTATCAGCTGTAAATATTTCAATCAAATAATGCATTTGACTGTATGCTTCTCCTCCAGTTTCAGTTGACCTCCCAAGTGAACCACTACATCCTTTTCCAAGGAATGGTCTGTAGTGCCAAGAGAAAATTTCTGCTGAAGCGCTGGCTGCTTTGTGCAGCGGATGCTCACAGATCTGTGGGGTGATCACTTCCAACCCCGTGCTGCACTTCTGCTAGTTAAATCATGTGCTACAAAATCACCAGAGACACAACTCTGAATACAGTTTCTCTCCCAGCAAAAGAACAAAGCCTTCATAAGAAGAAGTTTGTACCTTCGGTTGAAATGCTCCCTGAAGTGACCCAAAGGGACCTGAATGTGGAAGCATGGGTGGCATTCCAGGCATTGCTGGAGGATAGGTTGGAAAGAACTACAAAAGAAAAAGAGATGCTTATGTCACAGGACAACTTGAACAATAATGGAGGTAGGTGCCAAGCCTGGCACATACAAAAATAGTACTGTGTTGAACAAGTGCCACAGTGAAAACACGCACTAAATTTGCTTTCAAAATTTTTAAGAGCAAAGCCAAAACTTGGAAAATGCGCTCATCTGACGAATGTTCTAGATAGCGCTGAACAAGTGTGCCTTTAAAATTTGTGGACTATTGCAGGAAGCACAGAGCATTCACCGTTTTTAGAGGAATCGGAGTAATTTGGGTTTTACGTTCACTTTTGGCTAACTTTGCATTTTTCTGCAGTAGCAAACAAATTGATCCTGTTTTGAAATGTGATCTGCTTTAATTTTCAAAGCAAAAAAGAACCACAAGATGCTGCATTGCACACTAACCACAGGCAACATGCACACCACCTTGTAGTTGTGTAGGCTGGGTTAAGTTTTGCTTAGGCCTCTCCTGAGCACATACAGCAGTTTTACAAGTCCCAAAACATGTAGGTTTTGTGCTTTGGAGCAGTGGGGAGCACCAGGAAGAAACCACCAGTCTGACTTACTCCTGTGACCTGAGCAAAATCTTGTGAAAGAGCCATGCACTCTGGGCTGCTGCACTGTGAGAAGCACCAGCTGCAAAGATACTGCAATGACGACTGATTTAGCAATTTCTGCGCATTCTCTGCCATCCCAGGCACAGCAATATAGAGCTGCAGCAGCAAAAATGCAGTAGACAAAGATTCAGAAAAAAAAAAGCCCAAAGAAAATTTTGTACCTTAAAAAAAAAAAATCAAGACGGAAAAAGAGCTTTAGGAATGAATGAATCAAAACACTACCGATCAATCGAAAACAAGCAAAAGAAGTGCAAGCAGAACCATTAACAAAGACACCACCTAGAAAGGTAAGCACTCACGTTGGAATGTCGAAAGTAAGGGTTGTCTAATTTGGGAGCGTACTTGTCAAACTGGAAAGAAAAGAGAAAAAAAAGGAAACAGGTGAGTTGGGTTTTGGCAGTAGCAGACACATCAGGATTTCAACACAGACAAATAATCATGGCCCGTTTGTACAGCATTTAACAGAGCAGAACTGACTGGTTGTTCCATACTCGCTCATCAGGGAGCTGACTGATTTCCCACAGCTAACAGAGATGGAAAGGCGCTAGCCCCTGGGTTGCGCTGGGTGCTGCCGAGTCTCGCCGCAGAACCCTGTCTGCAGGCACTACGTGAAGAGGTTCCTTCACTATGAAGAGAGCAGTCCTGACATCTGCAGTGCAGCGAAACGCAGGGAAGTTCAGCTCCAGGTCTAGATCGGGGATCTGCCCCTGGAGCACTGAACTAGACCACAGACCAGAAGGTAGGGAACGTTTTCCATTAGACCCCGACATCTACTGCGGGGCAGCCAATACCAATTCCCCGTTTTCTGGGTTCCTGCAAGTGCCAAAATTGTTTGGAAAAGGGCTTAATTGCTTTAGATGCACAAATCTCTACATAGTCCCCCTCCCCTGCAAAAGAGAGAGCGCCCCAGAAAAAAGGTGATTGTTAACCTTTTCCGTTCCAGCATGGGGTTTTAACACCTCCATGTGTGCAGTCTGTGCCCCGTATTTATTTTTATGACCATTTGTCCTGTACCACCTTGGAAGCAAAACCAAAGCACATATACATTGCATTTTCAAACAGTATGTACATTCTGCTGGGGAGGAGGGAGCGGGGAAGAAGGCAGGGAAGGGAGCTGTAGGACCCCATGAAAAGCTGCTTATTTGGCAAGTCAGCTGCTGTTTCACACTCCTCTAAGTGCAGGAGAGTAGATTTGTAATTTCATTAATTACAGTTATTACTGGAGCCATGTCCCCTCCAGTGTAAATACCATAAATTACCAAACACATGCAGCTGCAAATTTCAACACTCTTCTCTGGCGTTGGGATTAGCAGACCTGATCTAGTGGAATATAAGAAGATGTGAGTGAAATATAACAAAAGAGCCTTGCAAGCTGTTTTTGCTATGAAGGCTGACATCAACGGGCACGGGTGGGAGGGGAGGGAGCTGTTCGCTGGATCGGGTATCAGGATTCTTAAATAACACAGGAGGTTTCTGAGAAAAGTTTCAAGATTGTTTTACGCAGACCAAGAAAAGAAGGGAAGGTGTTTACACACGAGTACATTGAGCAAACACCTGGGGCTGGATTTTGGGTGGATTATATTACTTTTAATTGTCTCACTGCTAAGCAGATTACAACCCAAGAATGTCATCGGGCAGTCAGCAGTGGGAAAGAAAAGTGAGAAACATTATGCTCCTTGAGCTCTTGGTAGTTCTTCCCAAACGCTGCTTTTGCTGTTACTCCTGGCTTTTGCTAGCCTTAGCAGAAGAGGGTTGTTTCTACATTTTGGACACAGTGTGAAACAGAGGGGGAAAAAAGCTGAATCTTGTTCTTTCAATCTCACAAAGTAATTGCCAGAAATGGGGAGAGAGTGCGTTTTAAAGTACTGACAAAATCCATTTGTTGCAGATCTCTAACAATTTTCTAACAGCTGCAGCGAAGTCCCATTGTGTTCCAAGCAAATTCAATGGCAAAACGCTAACGCTTATCACATGGCCAGGAGGATCTCTCCCACAAGAAGAACCAGCCACACACAAATTAGTGCTTGTTGATGTAATCAAGTAATAAATGCCAAAATCGATATAGATCAGGGAATTAGGACGAAGAGGGACAAAACTCCTATCAGATGAGATGCTGCACTACGGTGAGAGCTCCGGGTAAGCAAGTACGGTCTGCCCTGCAACGAACAGCTGTGGGGATTGCGTTTGGTACTGGAGGCCACCGATCTTGTGGCGTCCTTGATGGTGTGTTTTGGTGTGTCACGGCACCTGGCTCTGGGAAAGGGGGAAATAGAAATACACAGCAGGACACATGAGAAGGGAAACTAAAGGGACTCTGGACTTGTCTCATGGGTGCGGTATCTGCTCATGGGTAGCAGCGTGGGGGACCTGGAGGCTCGGTGTGGAGGTTCTGGATGGAAAGGGGGTCCCTTTGGGAGTGCTGGGCCTGTCTCTCCAGGCCTCCAGGTCAGAAGGGCAGGGACAGCACGCCTGGCTGAAATGAAGAGGGCTGGGTTTTGTTTGACAAGAGTGGGTTAGGCTTTTTGACCAGAGATGCTCTACTTATCCTCACATTTTGGGCTGGGGTACGCACCATGGGAGGTGCAGAGGGCGGCATGAGCGGCGTCTGGGGCAAGCTGGATGGAAAAGGAGTGAATGTGTGCTGGTGGGTGTGTTGGTGCTGATGCGTGTGTTGGTGCTGGTGAAACTCCGCTCTCAGCAGCGGCACCGGGCCAAGTGAGGCAGCGGCCCGGTCCGAACTCTGAACCAAAAACCGGTTGTTCAGCTCTTGCCTGAGCAGTTCGTGATCTAGAGGAGAGAGAGAGAGAAAAAAAAAAGACACAGAGGCCCGTGGGCCTGTGAGTACCACAAAGACGGAGGAGAAAGAGTCAATATTCACCTGGCATTCCCTGTTTCTGCAGGTCATGCTGTGGTGGTTTTCTACGTGAGGACTCATTGGTGGAGGTAAGAGAGATGCCTGTGACAAAGTACCAATCAGAATCCCCGAATGAGGCTGGCAATACATGATTGGTTGGTTGAATGATATCAACAGGCTGGTATCTAAAGACAAGAGAGAACACCATGAGTCATCACAGCAGAAAACATCATCGGGGGCGTCAGCAAGCATCCGCCCCCGGCCCCCCGCCCGCAGCCCCGCTACCCCCGCGCAGCTCCGACGGGCTACTCCTCCGCCCCGGCACCTGACGGCCACGGCACCGAGGTGTCTCCGGCAACGGACCTCGGAGGTCTGCTCTGGCGGCACGGCGGGCCGGCAGTCCCTCCCCATGGACAGGA